ATCAAAATGTCCCCAGTGTCTCCAAAAATGGTGTATGCTTCACAATACTGATTTGAAATTTGCACCAAAGTATACAGAACATTGTATAGCATAACAAACTGCAGAGTTCGGTTCATTATCACTATTCAGACTTGCTCTATAGTCTTTGTAAATGATCCAACTGCTTTCCCTGTTGGTGTTTTTATCATCTGTTTTCCACACATTTCCTCACTGTCAGATGGACTGATAAAGTTTCAGTTAAAGGACTAATAGCATGTGACAGTTTAATGCGCTTGGACTGTGTAACTTTGATCATGATAAAATGAAGCGAAACCGAATTTTATTGCCTTTGAAAGCTTCTGTGATCCACCAGAATGTAACAAGACAACGAGCGTACAGTAATGCTGATGGCCCTCTGAGGCCACTCCCAGCACTTTTAGCGGGCATAAGTATATCCAGCTGACAATGCTAGTTGAGCAGCTGAAGCTGACTGGGATTTCATCATATAGGAGGTATTTAAATATAAAACAAGGTATTCTAAAAATGTATTTTTTGACCTATGGGTTGCACCACAGCTACTATAACTCAGTGTTGCATGTGTCAGAGCTGGCCTGTGAAGAAATGGAAAATATGGCCTCAAAGTGTGACTCATCATAAAATACATGCATCACTTTTTCTTGTATCTCATGGCCAGGTGCATGTGCATCATTAGCTGATGGCAGCAAAATGCACTTGAAGGGTGGAGAAGGACAACAGCTTGACGCTCTTGGCAGTTCTTCTTGGGAACACTTTGTTGACTTTCCTTTGACATTACCACCTATCTAATCCTAGCAGCTCCATACTGTGGTGGTTAACATTCACTTGACAAGATCAAGCATCTTTGGGATGTACGTGGAACAAAACAAGCTTGATCGATGGACTCCCCACCCTATCTAAAAGAAGAACACAAACCTAAAGGAGCTTTAGGCACACAGGACACCTTATGAGGTTGATGTCTTGAGGAGTTAGAGGTGTTTTCGAAGCAACGAGAGGAAATTCACAATATTAGAGAGATTCTTTTAATATTGTGGCTGTGGAATTGTATGTGCTGTTTTTCATGGGTACACACCATGTAGTTATATATATTTTACCATCAATCACAGTTATCAACTTTATGAAAGTGCTGGAGAGAATCAGCAAAGTCATTAAGATTCAACTTCTGTGACCCTGTGCAAAATTTCTTGTCAATCAATATAATAGTCATTGATCTATTTCAGTCAACTGAACTGAACGGCTGATATTGCCAGGCTGTTCTATTTAACAAAATGTGCACTTGTGAAAAATCTAATTTGAGACTGGAGCGTACGTTCAGCCCACACAAAGGGACTATCGGACCACTTGGCTGATTGCTGTTGTAAACATTGCAGACTCAAATATCGATCTGCTTTACAATCAATCAAACGGCGAGTGCTTGTCAGGGTCAGAGGAGACACTAATATCTTGCACAGATGTGGATTTATGGTTTGCGTGTCCCTCCCATCATTGATTTGTCGCCCCTCTCTTTTTTGTTTTTCAACATATTTGGTATCCCGCTGTGTTAGACTCATAGCTGCACCCCTTGGAAAATCCCTGCATCCATTTCCCATCGTCTTCTTACCACCTTTGCCATCTTTTTTCTGGTTTGTTCTTTTTTCATTCATTCACTCCTTCGATAAATAAATGGCCTGTATTTGTATAGCGCTTTACTGGTCCCTAAGGACCCCAAAGCGCTTTACACATCCAGTCATCCATCCATTCATGATGGCAAGCTACATTGTAGCCACAGCCACCATGGGGCGCACTGACAGAGGCGAGGCTGCCGGACACAGGCGCCACCGGGCCCTCTGACCACTACCAGTAGGCAACGGGTGAAGTGTCTTGCCCAAGGACACAACGACCGAGACTGCCCAAGCCAGGGCTCGAACTGGCAACCTTCCGATTACAAGGCGAACGCCCAACTCTTGAGCCACGATTGCCACCATAAAGAAAAGCACCTCTTGAGGTGCTGTAGGCCATTAAGTAGTAAATAATCCCAGGCAGCGCTGACTCTTGGCGCTTATGTGGGACGACTGCAAATGACCATGAGAGACAGAGGAGTGAATGAATGAAAAAAAAAAGAGTTTCTCATACAAATTGGTATGAGAAACTCCTTTGTTCCTTTGTTCTCTTTTCATTCATTCGTCCACTCATCTTTCTCTCATGGTCATTTGCAGTCGTCCCACATGAGCTCCAAGCCTGTCATTAGAGCTACCTGGAATTATTTGCTGCTTAATGCCTCAATGAATGAAAAGGGAGCAAAAGAACAAATGAGTTTCTCATACGTTTGTTCTTTTTTCATTCATTCACTCCTCTTTCTCTCATGGTCATTTGCAGTCTTCCCACATAAGCTCCAAGAGTCAGAGCTGCCTGGAATTATTTACTGCTTAATGGCCTACAGCAGCTCACACAAGCCCAGAGGTGCTTTCCTTTATTTATCGATTTTCATTCCTTTTGTCTTACTGTGTGCTGTTCCCGAGAGTGGTTGCGTGTGCTGTGTGCAGGACAAGTCCACAACAAATAGATAAAAAGCCCAAGGACGTCCTGTACATCTGAGCTACTGGCGAAATGGCCCGTGGATTGAAAGATTGATTGAGTTGATGTTTGAAGGCTAATCGGCTGTTAGGCTGCTTGGTGATTCATCTGCTGCCTGTGCCTGTGCCTCTGCCTGTTTACGTAATTTACAGTATGCATGTGCCACACTATGCATGCATGTGTGCATACACTGTGACAAACTGCTGTAAGAAATACTCTCACAGTGCCATAGTGTGAGATAGGTATTTTCTACTCTGTTAAATATTTCCTGGTTCCCATATAATATTGCAACCTACTGTGAAAAGAATTGCATTCAGGAGGAGATGCCAGCTTGTTGGTCTTATATTGTTTGTCATCCTATTTATGTTGCACTGAACTGTTGCCATCCTACAATCATCTCACAGAAAGGAATCAGGATTGTGCAATTGTTTTCCACAAAGGTTGTTGTCCAGAGACCCTTACTCTATGTCTATGTGCTTTACAAATTAGACTAAGTTCAAGTCTATTTTCAGTTGATCTGCATATCAGTGAGACACAGATTTTTGTATGTTTCTCTCTCTTTGCATCTTAAACCTTGACTTCATTGCCATGTCATTATATCACAGGTTAACATTTAATAGTAGAATATTGTGTTTTTTAGACAGCTCTTAAAGATGGGCAAAAAGTCTCAGGGCTCTGTGTGTGGCAGGCGGAGGTGAGGATCCAAACGCAGGACTCGTGAAGCCAAATTTCAACAGAAAACCACAGCTTTATTGCTGGCAAAGCACAAAACATGAACAGACCAACAAACACTGAGAACCAGAAACACACAGGCACAATCTGATGGTACAACACAACAGAGAGCACAGGAACACACAGGGCTTATATACACAGGGAGGTAATCGGGGAATGAGAAACAGGAGGGAGACACAGCTGGGAGAAATTGGACTAACGAGACAGGGGAGCAGTAGAACTGAACACACTCACATGAGACACAGACCTTCACAATAAAACAGGAAATAAGAAACCACTAAACAAAGACGCAGACAGAGAGGCAGACAGAATATAACACATGCAACTCAAACAATACATGAAACAACAAATCCTTAAACACGGATAAACAGAAACAAGAAACTAATAATAATCTATCATCATCATCACCACAAGCACTACAAGAGAATAAGAAAACAATCCATAATGCAAAAACACACCAAAATAACTGAAACACAGATTTATCATAAAACCCAACAAAGCACCAGAGAAACATAAAGAACAATCTATCATTCAAAACTAAACCAAGACATAAAAAACTCAAAATGCTGGGTCAAACTGACCCAGAACCATGACAAAAAGGCCAATAGTATATATGAACAAAGTAAGATTCTTAATTGCTGGTATATTATCAAATCTATACATTCTATATCTAATATTTCCATTCATCATGAGAGAAGCTACACCCTGTACACCTCAGACTTTCAGTGTAACTCCAGGTCAGAAATATGATAATATTCTGCAGTATTAGTGATGGATGGTGGTCTGGAAGGAATCATCTGCTTCTGAATGTGAATGAGACCAGAGACGAGACCAGAGACATGGTGATCATCTTCAGAAGGAAGACAACGGCTATCCTGGGAAAGCATGTTGATATGGTGAGGTAGTATGGCATCCACGTTGAACTGGAAGACCAACACAGTAAGTGAAGTGTATGCAAAAAAAGCAAGCTGACATCCATCAATGTCTACAGTAAATGATGGAGATTTTCAGTCACCCAGGACTTCAGGACTTGTAGCAAGTGCAGTGTACTTTGCTGTTGTCTGCCGTGGGAGCAGATAATATTATCATTATTATTTTTACTATTATTATTATTTCAACTGGTGTAACAAAAGAATTTCCCGAAAATGGGATAAATAAAGTATTTGGGGTATATACGAGTCCAATGGTCAACACAATTCAACTGCTGAATTTCAAAATCATCTAAATGTAAAAACAGAATAAGAAGAAATAGAACAAAGCACACGCTAAAGCTCCAGTGGTATTATTAATTGAAGAAATATTTACAGAGCGCTGCAGTGCCTCATCCTGTCTTTGGTTGAGTAGGAGCCAGTTACAGCGTTTGTGTATGTGTGTGTTAGAGGGGGTGGATGGGGCTTTCACCAAAATGACCGTTTATGTAACACCAGGAAATAAATAAGTAAAGATACAGAGATCACAGTCCCCAAAAAGGAGCATTAGATGAATGGCAGAGGTGGAGGTGGATGACACCACTGTTGCAGATACACGGCTCCCCGCCTCCACCTTTGCGAGCACGATGAGGACGATGGTGATATCGCCAACCCAACAATCCTCCCATTGCATTTTTTTGATCAATGAGAGAGAGAGAGAGAGAGAGAAAGGGGGAGGGAGAGAGGGGGGGGGGGGGGGGGTATTTTCAGCCTCACTCTGGCAGCTGTGCAGCTACCCCACGTACATGCTCATATCCGGAGAGAGACAGACAGAGTAAGAGAGAGAAAGAGAGAGAGAGAAGACTGACTTCCTTCTTTTTTGCTCTGCAGACGCGTGCGTGACCTATCTGCTCCCGGATTTCCCTGCAACTTTTTTATTTTTTCTTGCGATTTTTATACTGTTTTCATCGTCGCATTCCTCCTTCCTTTGGAATGAACTGTTTTCCTGCCTGCATCGTTTCCATGCCAGCATGGGAACTGCTGTGTCCAAGAGGAAGAATTTAAGAAACGATGCGATTTCTTCTGTGGCAGCAAAAGTTAGGTGAGTGACACTCGGAGCTCTCGGCTTATATCTCAGTGTTATAGTACCCTTAGGAAGTCTTGGCAGGTGTTTTAGCCTTCAGGTGCGAGCGACACGAAGTTCCCATGTGTGACAGTTTTGCGTTTTGATGGATTACCACTGCGCTATCCTGGATATAGCCAGTCTGCCTTGTAATGCGCAGAGAGGCTCTTTGCGCTTTTGGTGGTTGCTGATTGTCCCGCGTCTAGCTCGGAACGTGCACTGGGGCAAATATCGATTAAAGATCTCCCAAAACTGAACCTGTTATCAGAAATTGATTACGTGATTAGGATGGCTTCATGCAATTTCCCCATATCTGTGTTTTATGTAATGTAAACCTGCTGCAAGATGTTTGCTCCTGGCGCGTCGGAGTGTTTCTGGATGTTGTGAATGAAGCATCATTGTATAACCAAAGTCATGCAGAGGCAAAATGGGACTGCCGTGACTCAGAGTGTCCCTGATACATTTTCCCAGTTTGCCACCTCTTATTAGCCGCTATTTAAAAAATAAAAAATAAAATAAAAAATCCTGCTATTTGATTGTTATTTCAGTTTAACCAAAAGCTGCTTTTCTGTCTGGCCGCAGAGAATCGAGAAAACAGTACAGCGATGAGACGGCAGCCTTCACTCCGGGGTGGGCAAATGAGCCAGCTGTCGATTAATCAGTCACGGCAATCGATTCTGTCGTTGCACTAATCACCTATCACGACCAGTCATTGGGTCAATCACAGAGGGCAGCACGGGAAACGTCCGTTAATTTTTGCAGGCTGGAAAAACAAGACTCAGACTGTTTGGCACGAGTCCAGCCCGTTAAAACCTATTAGGGACTCAGTCTGAGAGCCGTGCGTGTTTTAAACAGCCAGAACCGCATCCAGCTGTTGCAGCACTACGCAGAGGGAGTAAGGAGGCTGTATCAACGATGCTGCCTTCGTCCTCACATCTGCGAGGCTGCAGTTCGCTGGAAAGCACGTGTGCCTGTGTGTTTCATGTGTCCAGGCATCAAGCGCAGACAGGACGCTACAGTCCCACATGAGCTCGGAATACAAAGCAGCTCTCTGCTTCAGAGGGTGCCTCACAGCAGGGCCCAGTGTTTTTAATTCAGTCCGTGAATGACCTTGACTTGTTCAGACTATAGCGTTCACAGATGTGGGCTGATGTGTTGTTACGTCATTCTCTCAGGGTGTGTGTGCCTTCTTTACATTACACAACCATGCTTTTAGCGATGTTGCTTTTAGCGCAGTGTGTTTTTGTGTCTGTGTGCTGCCCTAAAACGAAGATGAGAATGTGATCCTCCTGCACGATTAGAAAATGGACCCAGAGGAGATCCTGAGCAGGTGTTCCACTGTGAGACCCTGTGTGCCCACCGCAGGGCTGCCACTCTTTTTCTTTCCCCCCTTTGCATCTACAAAGGGACTGCACAAACTGTTACATGTCTGACTCAACTGGTAGCCCCCCCCCACACACACACACACACACACCACACATGCTCCCCTCCTCCTTCACTCACATAAGCACAAACACTCAATTTCAGAGCTTATTTATTTATTTTGACTAATAGAAGAATCCACCTCGCCTCCAGTATATGGGAAACAGAGTTGATTCACATCCAATATTTATCAGCCTTTCACCTGCACATAACCTCATGCATGAGGAAGTGAGAATTTAAAAGAATTTAATAAAAGCGCCCCATTTCCATCTCTCTACTTGCACATGCACACGGTTGCATGGATCCCATGTGTGTCTCTTCATACAGCTTTTCTTTTTTTTTTGTTTGTTTGCTTGTCTGTTTTTAAGGTTATCTTTTGTGCATTTTGTGCTGATCTTGTATCATGTGCCATGCCAGAATAAGGGAAAGTTAAGCAGCGAGATGCAGATTTGTAACCGTGAGTGGGATTTAATACTTTCTCCCACTAAAATCTGTTTATTATTAATTTATAGCAACGTGAAGGAAGGAGACTTTGCTTATACATTTTAAGTTACAGCAAATCAGACACGGTAACCTGGAGTTGGAGTCAACCATATGGCATGCCTTTATGTTCCTACATGCTGGAAATGATGCTAGTAGTGAGGCTAGGTCAGGGGTGGGCAACTCCAGGCCTCGAGTGCCGGTGTCCTGCAGGTTTTAGATCTCACCCTGAGTCAACACACCTGAATCAAATGATTAGTTCATTACCAGGCCTCTGGAGAACTTCAAGACATGTTGAGGTGTCATTTAGCCCTTTAAATCAGCTGTGTTGGATCAAGGACACATCTAAAACCTGCAGGACACCGGCCCTCGAGGCCTGGAGTTGCTCACCCCTGGGCTAGGTGCACTAACTGTTCTTATTTTTACCTTAAATCAAGTGATGCTGATCCTTTATGGTTTTCAGAAACTTATAGGCAAATGGCAATACATCTAAACTAAAGTCTGAGTCATTGGAAAAAGTAACTTTAAATATGCTTATTTTTAACTCTTTCTCCAACTCTTATACACTCCCCCACACATCTTTCTGAATTATAAATATCCCCCACTTTTCCTTTTACTATTTCCAAACCATCCCAGATGCCAGTCAGTCTATTTTGACTTCATTAAATGAAACTTCCAGGGGCCTTTTAAGAGCCAGGTATAAATGTCAAGCTTACTTAAACATCTAGCAAACTCACACACTTTTTGTAATACACATAATTATTTATTGTTTTTTATCCTTCCTTGCATACAGCATCAGCGTGATGGAAGAATATGAAATGCCACAAGCAGCGAAAGTTCTGGACTTTAACTTTAAGCTCACACTTGTTAACTAATAACAAGTGTGAGCTTGGTTGACAGTAAAACAATTCCCCACGGCCCCATTTATTAAAACCAAGAAAAGGATCTTTCTCTAACTTAATTATTTCTTCTTGGCAAAACCTGTCACTCTGCTAGTGCTTTACATTGTTCCCTTTAACTAGGAATGCCTTCCAAAGGACTGGCCAAATTAAAAGGTGACGTGGTGATAACAGAAGGACAAAAGAGTGATGACAAATGTTGCAAGGAACCACAATACAAATCATGTACAATATCCAAAATAAAAAACAAAAGAATCCATTGGCAGTGATACCTAAGTGGAGCTGATAATGTGTAACTATGGCGAAAGCTGTAATGCTTAAAGGTCATATGTTATTTTCATGTTATTCATTCCTTATGACTTATGAACTCATTCGTGATTTTTGGAGAATCACATTGTGATAAAAACCTACAAATTTCAAACTCATAGCACCAGAAATCAGTTACAGTTATCCTTAACAAACAATAGATGTTTGCAGTGTGTTTCTTGGCAGTCAGTGCAACAGCTGTTAAGACATTTTAGTCTGTACCAAAGTGGTGGACAGACTGGCATCCGTGTCCTCACAGCCATGCCATTAGCATAGCTAAAAAGAAGAAAAATGTGGTGAGTTTTTAATCTGTTAATAGGTGTGCCTGATTGGAAAGCATGCACAAAGATATTTTCCTCAAGTGATCACTTTTGTCTTGAGATATGAGGAGGCGTTAGAGGTCTGAATGCTACTGAAGAGACACTGGCTTCTTGTACCCGATGCTCGACAGTGCCTGTGTCATCTTGTGCATGCTTATGGATTTCTGTTATGAAACAGGTCACACTCTCCTCTCCAGCAGCTTCGGTGAGGTAGCTAGTGACAGAGAGTGAGGAGGGAAAGAGAGAGGGGGACAGATTACCTCCTATGTATACACCAGAATTCTGCGACACTGAGCGAGGAAGGAAATGCTTTGATCTGTCGATCAGCCTAAGAGGAAGGCTGTGCTGTGGTTCGGCTGAAGGGCAGTGGACAACAGCTTTCACAGAGCTCTGAGAGTGTGGAAAATGGACTGAAAGATGAAAGACTTTTTTTCTTTTTTTTCTTTTTTTTTTTTTCCAGACTGATGCAAATGAAACATTGTGTTTTAGTTTGTGGAGGACAGTCAGGTGGCCTGCAGTCACTCTGTTATTGGGGGCCAGCGATGTTACATAACTGTTAGAATTTTTTTTTTTTTGTAATTTCGATTTATTCAAACGCCATGGAAAGACTGCCTCCTAAATTTTATAAATCTGATTGTGTTTTGGGCAAAATCATGCTTCGTCGTGCTTTTGCTTATGTTTTTCTCATCCGCTATAAATTATGCACTCCGTGTTTTAAATGTATTCTTACTACTTTATTCATTCTCATTTGAGTGAAAGAAATCGCTATAATATCTACTGTATCTTAACCTCCTTTCCCTCCTGCTTTGTTCAATTTGTGTAATTTGTTCATTTAAAATGCTAAATGATTCACATTTTATTCATTACAGTCTGAATAATCATACACACTCCAGCAATGCTGTGTGATTGTTGGTCTGTGACTGCCATTCTGTATTTAATGTTTCTTAATGAATTAGGAAGCTTAATTTGCTTATTATGAAAGTTACAGGTTACAGGGGAATAGCACCAGAACAAGTTTGTACTGTAAATGGACCTCAAGTGAAAATTGTTCAGTATGCCAATAGATTGTAGTAGGGAATTGTGTTTGAGTATGCCTGCTTAATGTCATGCAATCTAGCACAGATTTCAACAGAATTTCCAGAAATTTTGTGAAAGAAAATGCAGTTTTATTTTGAAAAATTTGCCCCATTCTCAATGCTCTGCCTGTTCCAGAGCAGCTTATGTTAAAGATTTGGATTTCAAGCTTTTACTGTGCATACTTTGTCATGTGTTTGGGTCCTCTACTTCACTACTACTGAGTGAGGAACTCCGGTCTTATCCATCCCATGCTGTGGTGAACCTTTCTTTGAAAACATTTATATTTTTATTTTGGTTCACAGCTATTCTTGATCAATCCTTGTTTGGTGTTGGATGTATTCATGTAAGTGGAAGTTGGAAGAGAGGTGCCGTCAAATTAAACTATTTATGATCGATAGATTGCAGATAAACGAGATACAAATGGAACGTGCGTGAGCAAGGGTTTTTCTGTGCTCGATGTCTGTTATGAATAAGA